TGGAGCTGCCGCGCGGCCTCGGCCGTACTTCGTTCTGCTCCTGCAGCAGGTTCTTGGTCTTTCTCCTCTAGTAGAGGGTCCACCGCCTGTCCAGTCGCAGTCCCTGCTGGAGCCTTCCTCTCCACTGCCTGCTCCCTCTCCTTACACTGGTCCTACTGGAGGTCTTGCTGAGCGTCGTGAGCCTGCGTCTCGTCCCGCGTCGCCTGTTCGTGCTGCTCGCGCTAGTGGTCGCAGTTCGCGTCAGCGTCCTCCTCCTGTCCCTGGCACGCACCGGATGTCTTTGTGTCCGTCCACTGCTCCTCTGCGTGCCCCTTTGCCTTCTCCTCCTGAGTCCTCTCTTCCTGCGCTTGCCGACCCTGAGTCGGACTCTCTTCGTGCTGCCAGTCCTACTGTCACGCGTCTGCTTGCTACTGTCGTCACTGATCCCTCTTTTGAGTCCACTGCTGTGTCTGCTCTAGTCGCTGAGCTCGTCGACTTTGCTGCTCGCTATCGTCTCGACTACGCTGCTAGTCTTGTTGCTGAGTCTGCGTCTGTCTGTCCTCCGTCCGTCGGGGGTGAGTGTGCTCTTGGCACGGACGTCCTAGAGGACAGGCAGGAGGAGTTACAGTGTCTAGCGGCTGCTTCACCTCATCTCGCGTCTGTACTACTTGCCCCTGAGGGAGACCCGGATGCACTAGACATCCCGACTCCGCGTTCTTACGCGGAGGCTGTAGAGGGTCCCTACTCCTCTCAGTGGCAGGCAGCTATGGATGCAGAGATGGCTTCCTGGAAGTCCACAGGCACCTACGTTGACGCGGTTCCCCCTCCTGGGGCGAACATCGTCAGTGGCATGTGGATCTTCAGGGTGAAGCGGCCGTCGGGCTCTCCACCTGTCTTCAAGGCACGGTACGTTGCTCGTGGCTTCAGTCAGCGGCAGGGAGTTGACTACTTTCAGACCTTCTCTCCCACCCCGAAGATGACTACTCTTCGGGTGCTGCTGCACATAGCCGCTCAGCGCGACTACGAGCTTCACTCTCTCGACTTCAGCACTGCGTTCTTGCAGGGTAGCCTGCACGAGGAGATCTGGCTTCGCCGTCCACCTGGCTTCACTGGGACTTTCCCTCCTGGCACCCAGTGGAGCCTCCGACGGCCAGTCTACGGTCTCCGTTAGGCACCGCGTGAGTGGCACGACACACTGAGGACTACGCTTGCGGCTCTTGGGTTTGCTCCTTCTACTGCTGACCCGTCGCTGTTTCTTCGCACCGACACTTCCCTGCCGCCGTTCTACATCCTCGTGTACGTCGACGACTTGGTCTTTGCCACAGCGGACACTGCTGGACTCGCCTACGTGAAGTCCGAGCTGCTGAAGAGACACACGTGCACAGACCTGGGTGAACTGCGCAACTACCTTGGCTTGCAGATCACTCGGGACAGAGCACGCCGCACCATTACCTTGACTTAGTCACACATGGTGCAGCAGGTCCTTCAGCGCTTCGGCTTCACGTACTCCTCGCCTCAGGCCACTCCTCTGCCTACTCGCCACTCACTCTCAGCTCTGCCTTCGGATGAGTCCGTAGAGTCGAGTGGTCCGTATGCAGAGCTTGTTGGCTGCCTCATGTACCTGATGACCTGCACACGACCTGACCTTGCATACCCTCTGAGCATTCTTGCACGCTATGTTGCTCCTGGGAGACACAGACCGGAGCACATGGCTGCAGCGAAGAGGGTATTGCGCTACCTGTGCAGTACGTCGGGCATGGGGCTAGTGCTTGGAGGGCGGAGTCCAGTGGTCCTTACCGGCCACGCGGACGCTTCTTGGGCTGACGACCAGGCTACGCAGCGGTCGTCACAGGGTTACACCTTCAGCCTTGGTTCCGGCTCTATCTCGTGGCGGTCTACTCGCTCGTCTTCGGTTCTCGGCTCCAGTTGTGAGGCTGAGATCTACGCCGGGGCCATGGCTGCACAGGAGCTTCGCTGGCTCACCTACCTGCTGACTGACCTTGGAGAGCCGCCTCGTTCTCCTCCAGTGCTGTACGTAGACAACAAGGCCATGCTGGCCTTGTGTCGAGAGCAGCGCTTGGAGCACAGAACGAAGCACATTGCTCTTCGCTACTTCCTTGCTCGTGAGCTGCAGCAGCGTGGTTAGTTGCGACTTGCGTACGTGGCCTCTGAGGCCAACACTGCTGATGTGTTCACCGAGGCACTCGCGCCTTGTGACCATCAGCGCTTTTGCACCCAGCTGGGTCTTGTACCTGTCTTGCCTCACTTGCTCTCCTCTTGACTTCACTTGTACTGTGACATATATATATACCCGCTCTTGCTTGTCTAGTTTTATATATATATGTCTGTACTCCTGCATGTGAACTGGCCTCTGGCCCTGCTCTTGTGCTCGGACTGTGTGGTGACTTTGTGATCCACCCTGAGCTTGCTTTGCTTTGCTTTGCTTGACTGGTCTTGTGACCCCTTGTTCTCCCCCACTTAGCCTATGGGGGTTTTTCAGAGTATTATAGCTGATGCATGTTTGTAGGCTATAGTGGGGTAGCACATATGGGGTACAGCTTTCTAGGGTTGTATTTGTACCCAACTCTAACTTAGTCATTTTCATTCCTGTTCACTTGTTTTCACACTTGCTGGTGCTGCTCGTAGAAGGACATGAAGGAGAAGAACTTCTCCATCATGCTTGGATCGAAGCCCGCGCCTTGGTTTGCGGGTGTTTCCGTAGACCCAGCTGCTGGTCTCGTCGTTGTCCCCTCCTCTGTCAGTAGGCCAGAGGTAGGTGGTGGAGTAGGAGTAGTACCGGGAGAGCCGTTGGAGGAACTCCTCTCCTTTCTGGCAGACATGTCTTCTTTGATGTACTGAGTGTTGAATAATAAGTTTTAACTCTTAATTGCTCTGATACCATGTTGGGCTGAAACGCCCTAGGATCTTTGTAGAGTTAAAGTCTGAGTAAATGTTGTAATAGCGGAAGCGTTGAATAAAGCTCTTGAACCACCTTGCGCTAGTATGTGAGGGCAAAGTAAGTTAGATTAAAACAGGCAAATACAAAGCTTTATATAAGAGTACAAGGAATACGAATAGATATAATTAAACTACCTTGCTGTTGCGATTCGATACAGTGCGACTCGGGCAACTGCTCAATGTCGAGTCAGTTGTGTGTCCTTGCTGTCGCGCTGTATTGGTCAAGTCAAAGGTCGCTGACCTTTGACCTTCGCGTAACCTCCAGGCGGTTACCCTAACCTCCGAGGGTTGACTCGCGATGCTTCGATTTGGTCTGCTTCGCTTTGTGTCGTGAGTTTCGACACGACAGAGGCGCTTAAGACTTATTGTTCCCAACAGGAAGGACAGGCTTGTTGTGCAGATGCAACCTGCTGCTGAGGATAAAACGACACCATTTAAATGGCAAGGGGATGGACGACTGGATCGTACCTGCCAGCAGAATCAGCAGCACCAGGCACAGTCGCGTCATGAGTTCTGCGGAGATAGTACCACTGGTAGCGAATGTCTGTCTTTCAGATCGAAATGGCTAGCCAAAAATGCAATGCTTGTCGTCATTGCTAAATGACCCTACTGCTTTTATCGTGGCACGGCTGACGATAGGTAGTTGGCGAGACACAGTGTCGTGTCGCGACGTACGGAACTTGTCTGTGAGTGGATCGAACGGTCCTAGACCAAAAGGACGCAGATCTAGGCACGTTCGGCGGTAGATGCATACTCTAGGATGCGGCTAGAGGAACACTAGCAGTACGGCTTGCGGAGGCATCAAATGCAAGGACGACGCCGATGGGAAGCAAAAGCTCTCGTTGCTGTGCTGGAGAATCTCACGAATGGTGGTGGGTATAACTATTGTTCATTTCTCTGTGGCGATCGGCCAGCGGCGATTTGCAAACTTGGACCCGCGTTGCAGTACGATCAACCATGGGGCTTGGTGTTCAAATCGCATGGCCTACCGTCAGCCCCCGGATAGAAGCGCCCCTGGGGTTATAAAAAAACACTGTTTTTTAGGGGGTGGGCTTATAATTGAGGATTTTTATAAGCGCTGGGGCTTATAAAATGACATATATTAAATATAGTTTTTCTTCACCAAAGTGTTCATCTCGTCCTTGCGATTTGAATCGAATCAATATTGTAGAGGGCTGGAATGTGAATCTCGCGTTAATTGGCAGTGGCTGATTCTCTGCCAACACGCACAGTCAGAATGAGTCAAATTGACCCCATGACAGGTCATTCTGACTGGACGCGAAGGCATTGAGTCGCGCGATGGTGAAGGGATTCGAATTTCTGTATGTGGGGATGCAAAAATTGTGTTTCGTTACAGCGTTTCCAGTAAAAATATTAAAAATAATTCAGAGGGTGGCGCTTATAATCCGTAAGCCTTCAGGGGTGCTCTTATAATCAAGGACCGGATATAAGCGCCCTCATCCTTTTATAAGCGCCGGCGCTTATCCGAGGCCTGCGCTTCTATCCGGGGGCTTACGGTACTACGACCAGAACGAGCTGATTCGACAAAATTAGACGGTTGAGATGCGTGCTCTGCGAGTCGACTTGGAAAGCATGTACGGACGCAGCTGACATGGCGTGGGCGTGAAAAGAACGCCATGGGGTTTCGTCATCAGAAGCCGCGCCTTGCTGGTCTGGTCTCCTATCTGTGCTGTACTGTGACTGAGTGACTGAGTCTGACTGTGAGAGGGCCATTCAAGTCGTATGACGTGTTATACTCTCGAGGGGCGACCTATCATCCATCCATCCCCAGCTTGGAGTATTTCGCCATAATAATACGTTACAGAGTAGTGTAGGATTTCCCTACCATCTTTTACACAGACAAATTATTGTTGTATGGCTGTTGGCAATTTCATGTTCTATAGCCAGCTTGGTTCAGGTTGTTGTAGCAACAGTGGTATGGGAATAGAATATTGTAACCCGGCTTCCATACTACGCGCATACCTAAACAATGCGGCGATGATAACACCTTGGCAAACAATCGATTGTGGCACCAGTAGCTATGCAAGCAAACCATTGAATCCTTACTTTACTGCATCACTCCTCAGAACCACTCTGCACCCCTTTGAGATTTGCTCGCTTCTCGTCTTTATCTCCTTCATCAGCACATGCGCCTGCCCTGGATAAAACCTCCCCCTCACATCCTCCTCCTTTTGCCCTTGTGTCAAGGCTTCCTTGGCAGGCACCAAATGCACCCACCAGAACTCCTCTAATGCCGTGAACAGTAATTCCCAGTACTTCTTGTCTCTTTCCACCCTGAACAGTGCACTGCCACCCATTTTTGTCCACACGAAAAAATCCAGCCAATCGCGGTCGAATATTTCAAGCAGGCCTTGAATCTGCGGCATGTAGTAGACCGGTACGGAGGGGTACGGAGCGGCGGAGAGCGGTAAACCGCGGTTCCAGGGGCACTTGATTTCGAGAACACCAGGCGAGTGGGGGGAGGAGTGAAGGGAGAGAGAGTCGGAGGGGAGGAGTCCGTCGGGGGAAGCACCGAGCCAAGAGAAGGCCGGATCTCCGTGCTTGTAGATCTGGAAGGGCATGGGAGAAGGAGATCAGATGGGAGAGATGCAAGGAGTGCAGGGAGAGAGGGTCGGAGGGGAGGAGTCCGTCGGGGGAAGCACCGAGCCAAGAGTGTCTCCGTGCTTGTAGATTGAGAGAGAGGTTAGGGAAAGAGGGGCGGGCATAGGGGCAGAACTGAGGAAGAGAAGCTGCCAGTTAAGAGAAAGAGGGGCGGGAAAGAGGGGCGGATCAGCGTGCTTGTAAAGCTGGAAGGGCATGAAAGCCGGAGGTCAGACGGTAGGGAGGGCGGAAATGAAGGCGAAGAGGATTGGATGGGAAAAAAGTTTTGCTTTGAAAAACATGGGAGTTCGCATTGTCCCACAGCACATTGCCCCACACACACCACATTGCCCCACACACACCACATTGCCCCACACACACCACATTGCCCCACACACACCACATTGCCCCACACACACCACATTGCCCCACACACACCACATTGCCCCACACACACCACATTGCCCCACACACCACACATTGCCCCACACACCACACATTGCCCCACACACCACACATTGCCCCACACACCACACATTGCCCCACACACCACACATTGCCCCACACACCACACATTGCCCCACACACCACACATTGCCCCACACACCACACATTGCCCCACACACCACACATTGCCCCACACACCACACATTGCCCCACACACCACACATTGCCTCACACACACCACATTGCCCCACACACCACACATTGCCCCACACACCACACATTGCCCCACACACCACACATTGCCCCACACACCACACATTGCCTCACACACACCACATTGCCTCACACAAACCGCTTAGCCTCACACACCGCATTGCCTCACATACACACCGCTTAGCCTCACACACACTGCATTGCAACACCTGGAATTAAAGAAATTAAAGAGGCCTCTCAGCTCCTCTCAACCCCACCTGGAATGCCCTATGCTCCACATGCCCGCCTGTCAGCCGTTCATACTCCCTCAGAGCCTCCTCCTCCCTCCCCTGCCCCCCCCACATGTTCAACGTTACTGCCTTGCCTACAACTGCCTTACCCCATCCTCATCCCCACCTGGAACGCCCTGTGCTCCACGTAGCCGCCTGTCATCCGCGCATACTCCCGCAGAGCCTCCTCCTCCTTCCCCTGCCCCCATGCTGTCGCCTCATTCCCGGCAAACGGCGCTCTCAGCCCCAGCTTCTCCTCCCACAGCTGCTGCCGCCCCCCCGGAAACAACCCCACTGCCTTCTCAAACGCGCTGGCTGTCAGCCGGTTGGCTCTGAGTGCGTACCACTCGTCTGTGCGCTGCTCCTCGCCGCCCTTGTCCAGATTCAATGCATCCTGCTGTCCTGTTATCAGTGTTGCTGCGTTTCCCGTTGGTGGTATGATCAGCGCTGGTTGTTCAGGACGAAGCAGCCCTAAATTTCTGAAAGGAGAGACTTCTGGAGTACTATCTCTCCCTAGACGCGTTTCTGCTGCCTCGAACACTCTCCCATTGACTGACGCTGATGCTGGTGGTGCTGCTTTTTGCCACGCTAACTGCGGTGGTGCAGGGGGCGATTTGAGCGTCGGTGGCGGTATTTGGCTGCGAATGATCGCCAGCTGCCGCTGCACATACTGCCAGCGCTCTGTGTGGTGGGGAAAGTCAGGAGAAACAAGGAGCGACGGAAGGAGAATCACCAAGTGGATGGGAGACCAAGGGTGGGACAAGGTAAGGCAGTGGTGGGGGTATTTGGCTGGGAATGATCGCCAGCTGCTGCCGCTGCACGTACTGCAAGGGCTCTGCATAGGGTGAAGGAAGGAGAACCACCAAGTGGTTTGCAGGGAAAGAAAGGGGCAAGGGGGTGCTATGGATGATCACCACTTGCAGCAGCTACAGAACGTACTCTCAACGCCCGGTGATGCGGAGAAGAATGAAGAGCACCACGAGCACCACGCGCACGCGCGAAACGATAGGGGAAGAGAAGGAAGAGAAGGCATCCAGATAACAAGCAGCCACGTAAGGGGATGTGGAGGAAGAAAGGAACGCATGCACCAGCAGGAATAGCACAAGCGCAGCAGTCAATGGTGAGACCCGAACGCCGTGAGGGTGGGAGGAATGCAAGGGCTACTTTACCTGTTGGGATGACGATGTTCCCTCGGCCCCTGTTAACCACCACCCCTTGCATCCCTCCCGTTCTTTCACGGGCCTCCCTTCTTCCAGCCTCCATCCGTCCAGCCTCGGTACCGTCCCTCTCAGCTTCTCTCCTCTCATCAGCCCTCACCCCGAACCCCTCTCCCTGCATCCCCTCCCCCTGCCTCTCCTCCCGCTGCCTCTCGGCCCCCGGCTTTTCCTCTTCCTGCGAGTCCTCCTCTGGCGCAGCTGCAGCCGCGCGACTCCACACTCCCCGTTCAAACCTCGTCATACCCGCTACAAGCACTCCCGCTGCTTTAAAACGGACGGCGGCGGGCGGCGAGGGGAGAGACGGCGGGGCGCGGCGGGGGACGGAAAAGGCTCTGCGAAACGACTCTGGGTTTGCGGCGACATCTGGAATGTGCGGGTTACCAGCGCGCGGAAGGCCAGGGGTTACGTTTCGACTACCACTACGGGGATCATGCTCTGTAGCTCCACTTTGGTCGGTAGTGCTGCTGCGGACCTTGTCTCGACCCCAGGGATCTTCCCGCCGGGCCACATGCGCGGATCGCCCAGTCCCGTTTCCCCGCGTGTCACGGGAAACATTGCTGGCGCCGGCCGTCACCGTTCCGGTCCATTCCCGTCTGCCGGCGGCCAGCAGAACGGCGAGACGCGGTCTCATAATACCGAAAGGACCGACGTCGAATCTCGAACGTATCTGATGCGGTCTTATCTGTTGGCGTATCGAATCAAATCGTAGCCGCGCGCGGGCTTGCAACGTGGAACTGCAACCGGGTGGGTAGATCTGCCTGTTGAGCAACAAAGCTCGGCGCGCTTCTAGCGAAGCTCGGCTGGTGACGGACGAACCTTTGAGCAGCTGCTCTGTTAACCCAGTCATCTCATTGGCTAGGCGGTCCAAGAAGTTACCGAGAGAGCGTCAGCAGGCAGAGAGCTCGCTACAGAAGACGAACACACATGGTCATCAGGAATAGTGCGTTGGGTTGGGAACCCTTCGATTCGCCAACTTCCATGTCCTCTGCAAAATGCTTGAGATGGGGAAGGAGTTTCAAAAATGGCGGGAAAACATGAGAGTCGTTTTGGGTGTTTGAACGAAAATCCCTGTTACAGGGCTCCTCGTCGAACAGTAGAAACATTCCACACTTGATTCGGTCTTGATAACTCCAGAGCTTACAAATACAATTGCACTCAACCGCACTGAAGTACACGATTTTGCATGCGATGTGGCTGGCTTGGTTTCTCCGACAGAGAAGCAAAGCTGAAACTTCTCCGTCACGCACGCCACGGCCTCTCCGTTTCTTCTGCAGGTCACCACCGTCTGCTGTCAGTTGAGTTCCCTTTCAGGCGTTTTCGCTTGCTGTCACTTAGGATCAATCCGGGTAAACGCAAACTCGCCGATTTCATGCATTCTTTTCCAGTCTCATAGGAGATTCGCGTCGTGAAATCCGCATCGTGAGCGAGTAAAGTAAGTTCGCGAAGTTCTGTCGCGAACTTCGAGATTCTGGGGCAGGAATTTGACCTTTCGGTGAAGCTTTTCGGTGCAGGCTTTCGGTGACCGACAACAGATCACCAAATGCTAGTAGCATCTGCCGGTGTCCACTGCCTGCTTCCGCCTGCGTGCCTGCACCTCCGTTTTCCCGCTTCCTCCCAAACCACCCACTGCGATCCACTCGTGCACGCAAAGCTCCGCACCTTTTAGCACCGCAATGGACCTGCGAGAAACGGTTTCACTGCCCCTGCCTCCGTCGCTCCGCTCGCGCCTCCTCGCCGCCGGCTTTCTCACTGTCGCGGATTTCCACACGCTCAAACCGGAGGACCTCGCTCGCGGTGAGTGTACGAGTACGAGAGAGGTCATTCCGGCTTAAGCGTGTACAAGTCTTTCCGGGAATTGCATTGCAATGCCGAGTGGTCATTCTTGGGAGTGTTTGCCACACGCAGGGACGACCTCGCGCTTGGCGAGCGTATGGGTGTGAGAGAGTAAGTAAGAGAGGTTATTCGGCTTGAACGTGTGAAAGCCTGTTGAAATGCATCTTGTCTTCGTTCTCTCACTGCCGGCTTTCTCACAGTCGGGGAGCAAGTGCCTCCAAGTGCATGAAGTCCTTTCGATGCCCCCACCAGACCCGTCCCCCTTCCACCCTCTGATGCTTCCATCTCCAGATGCGTCTCTGTCCCTGAAAGACGCAAGGCATGTGCTGGGGGTGGCAGCAAGCGCATGCATGTCTCAGCTTGTTTACCACTCATGTGCTGTCATTGAACCTCCCCTTTGTCCACCTCCTCCCCTCCCTTGTATTCCAGATGCGTCTCTGACCTTGGAGGATGCGAAGCATGTGCTGGGGGTGGCAGCGGGGAGCATTCAGACGAGCATCATTCCCACTGCTGCTGGCATTGCAGGTATGTGCGTCTGTGGGTGTGTGTGGGTGGGTGGGTGGGTGGGGAGGGGAGGGGGTGGGGGGGAGGAGGAGGGGGGGGGGTGGGGTGTGGTGTGTGTGTGTGTATGTGTGTGGGGGTGTGTGTGTGTGTGTGTGCGCGCAAGTGTGGGGTGCGTGTGTGTGTGTATGTGTATGGGTGTGGGTGTGTGTGTGTGTGTGCGCGCGTGCGCACGCGCACTCGTGTGGGTGGGTGGGTGGGTGGGTGGGTGGGCGGGCGGGCGGGCGGGCGGGCGGCCGGCCGGGCGGCCGGGCAGGCGGGCGGGCGGGCGGGCGGGCGGCCGGCCGGGCGGCCGGGCGGTGGGTGGGTGGGTGGGTGGGTGCGTGGGCGGGCGGTGGGTGGGTGGGTGGGTGCGTGGGCGGGCGGTGGGTGGGTGGGTGGGTGGGTGGGTGGGTGGGTGGGTGGGTGGGTGGGTGGGTGCTTCTTGTGCCAGGTCTGTGTCTGTGCACCCACGGTGTGCTGAATTGCAGTTCAATTCCCGCCTATGGACTCTGATGGAGGTCCCACCACACCACACCACACCACACCATTTCTTGCTATCGCATAACACCTCACGCGCTGTGTCATTCCACTGTCCACATGCCTCTGTGCCCGGGGCAGGGGTTTTCGTCCCGCAAATGCCACCTCAGACTAGCTGAAGCAATGAGCAAACTTCCAGATCAGAACAACCCGCCCCCAACAGCTCCTCTGTTTCCCATTCATTGCCGCCCATTCCCGTCCAGTCTCATCCATCCCTTTCCAATTTCTGTGCAGCGGCTCGATTCCCATGGGAGTTTTGAGGCGCTTCAAAATACCTCCGGATTAGAACAACCTGCCCCCAACAGTTCCGCTGTTTTCCTGCTATTCCCGTCCATTCTCATCCATCCTTTTCCAATTTCCGTGCAGGGGCTGGATCAGTGCGGGAGCTTCTAGAGGCGGAGAGGGGCAGGGGCAGGGTGCAGACGATGTGTGCTGAATGAATGAGGCACTGAGTGCATGTGCATCTCTCCCTTTCTATCTGCATCTGTATTGCATGCGTGCAGGAGCTCGATCCGCGTGGGAGCTTTTAGAGGCGGAGAGGGGCAGAGGGAGGGTGCAGACGAGACGATGTGTGCTGAAGTAGTGACCGCAAGTGCATCCCGTCCCGTTCATCCATTTGTGTTCAGGAGCCCGATCCGCGTGGGAGCTGCTAGAAGCAGAGAGGTGCAGAGGGAGGGTGCAGACCATGTGTTGTAAATGAATAAACCACTGAATGCATGTATTATATCTGTGCAGGTGCACGATCCGCATGGGAGCTTCTAGAAGCAGAGAGGGGCAGGGGGAGGGTGCAGACGATGTGTGCTGAGCTGGATGCGATGCTGGGAGGGGGGGTGGCTCTGCAGGAGCTCACCGAGATATGTGAGTGGAGTATGGTGCAGTGGTGTGTGGTTTAGTTCAGTGGTGTGCGGTGCGGTAATGTGCGATGCATGCAGTTGTATGGAGTATGTGTGGAGAAGGAGGAAGAGTGGGTGCACTGCGATGCTGGGAGGGGGAGTGGCCCTGCAGGAACTCACAGAGGTTTGTGAGTGGGGTGCGGTGAGGTGCTGTGAGGCGTCGTAGTGTGCACTGTGGTGGTGTGATCTGTGATCTCTTTTTTTTCTTTCCAGCAACATGATTGTAGGGGTTTTAAAACAAATTGTAAAGGTCACTGAGAGGTCATGTGTTGATCAGTTCCCCTCGTGCCGTTTCTCCTCGTCTCTTCTGTCCAGGTGGGCCGCCAGGAGTTGGCAAGACACAGCTGGGGTAAGGCTGGGTTGGGATGGGTTGGGATGGGATGGGATGAGATGGGATGGGATGGGATGGGATGGGATGGGATGGGATGGGATGGGATGGGATGGGATGGGATGGGATGGGATGGGATGGGATGGGATGGGATGAGATGAGGCTGAATTGGTGTTTGCGCTGTGGTTCTGGTGCTGGTGTTGTGTCTCCCTGGCAGCAAGGTGACTTGGAGTTGACGAAAGAATTCGCCCGTGTTGGTCCTGGCTCTGATATTTCTCTTGCTGTGTTGCTGCTTGTGTTGTGTCTCCCTGACAGCATGCAGCTGGCTATTAACGTGCAGACGCCTGCTGTGCTGGGAGGGGTGGAAGGCGAAGCAGTCTACATTGGTGAGTGAGACTCGCCCTCCCTCTCCTCTCCCCTCACCATCTCACTCAATCTGCATGCGATCTCAGTCAAATCTGCAAGCATTCTCAATTTAATTCACATGCAATCTTCGTCGGGTCTGCTTACAACTCTCGCAACGCTTCAAGATGCCCACCAGACACCGAAGGGAGCTTCATGGTGGAGCGAGCAGCAGAGGTGGCCGATGCATATATGGCTGTTGCGCCTTGCAGCTGCCTCTGCCCCACACTCCACTGCTGCTACTATCTGCCCTGCATGCAGATTAAACCCCCTCTCACACCTTGAACGTTCTCATCCTCCCTCTTGCCCACCAGACACAGAAGGAAGCTTTATGGTGGAGCGGGCAGCAGAGGTGGCCGACGCAAGGGCGGCTCACTGCACTGCCATGCTGCTGTCTCTGCCCTGTGCACTCCACAGCACACTGAAATCCCCACTCTACGCCCCTCCCTATTCTCCAGACACAGAGGGGAGCTTTATGGTGGAACGGGCAGCAGAGATGGCTGACGCATGGGCTGCTCACTGCACTGCTGCTGCCACTGCCATAGATGCACCTACCCCAGATACCACCGCCCCCAGTCAAGCCTCCATCCACCACCAGCAATTTCAACCCCACCAGCAGCACTCACAGCAGCAGTTTCAGCAACAGCACCAACAGTCACGTAACCGGTCTCAGCAGCAGCAACACATGTTTCCGAATGCACCGGGGGCAGTGTCAGCAGCGGTGGCATCAAAGGCGTCTAGAGCAGCAGCGCTGGCAGGGGTGCATTACTTGCGAGTGTATGACCACACGGAGCAGACTGCTCTCGTGCACTCGCTGCCGCACCTGCTCGCTCTGCACCCCAAGGTGCGTGCTGGGATGGCATGTGTGTATCAGCAGTAGCAGTGGCAGGAGCGCGTGGGTGGCATCGAGAGCAGCAGTGCTGGCAGGGGTGCATTACCTGCGCGTTTATGATCACACGGAGCAGTGTCGCGTGATTAACACTTAGCTGGCAACTAAGTGTGAATTACACAGCAGCCAAGGTGAGGTGTACTATAGTTTACTGCTTTTTGCATTTTACTTTGTTTGCTCTTTTGGAATGTTACTGTACTATACAGAGTCGAGCTGCTGAGGATTTCGAGGTGGTTGGGGGGGAGGTTGGTGGCGAATTCGATTCCAGCCAGCCTGGGAATTCAATTCGCCATTCACCAGGCTGGAAGGCGGTGCATGCCTAGTGGGCCGAGTGGGACCCAGCTAGCACCTTGAAGCCTACGCGATCAGCTCGGCTGACTCGCGCTTAGGAGTAGAGGTAGCTTGCGGGACAAGGCACCTAGGCAGGAGGGGATGTAGACTGGGGTAGCGCTCAGACTCGTTGCTTTTTGCTTGTATGTTTCTCGTTTACTGCAATTGTGATTTCCTAAACCACGGGGAACTAGCAGTAGAGAGGAGCTGAAGCAAATCGGCGGAGCCCTTGCGAGGGAGTTAAGTCTTGTTTCATACAAGCAAAAAGGGTAGTCAGGATTACGATTGTTGAGAGAAGAGGTGGCAGGATCTACTGCCTGGAGTTGCCCACGGTGATGCACCGTGAGGAATGAGTAATTTCGACCGTGAGCTTCACACTCATCAACTGCGCTCTGGACACCGATTCCCGGCGAGGATGATGGAGGGACGTGATCCGCCGGTCAGGATGCCTGGATTTCGGGCGGGCGAAGGAGGGACGATCTCGCGCGGTAACCAAGGCGGGGATCGGGAGGAAGAACGAGGTGTACACGGAGAACAACAGTCGAGCTCTGCATGCGACTCGCCCGCGGAGAGGAGTGGAGGGCGACCTGTGGGGAGTGGATCTCGCCGAGGAAATCCAGATCTGGGAGGAGACGATCAACATGAAGATCGACGAAGTCAGAAGGGAGGGGAAGATCATCGAGAAGAACGGCGGAGTCAGAGAGGAGAAGAAGATCAACGTGAAGAAAGGTGTAGTCTGAGGGGAGGAGACGATCAATCGGTGGAACGACGAAGTCAGCGAGGGAAGGAAGCATATCACGGATTCTCTGCTGGAGGATACGAAGCCATGGAGGCCGGGAGAGCAGGGCGACCTGCAGGGAGTGGAGAAGGAGGGAACACAAGCTGGGGGACAGGCAGGTCGATGAGTACTACACCCCCCAAAATTGAGGTACCAGACCGCTTCTCGGGGGCACCCGGAGAGGAGCCCACGCTGAAAAACTACCTGATGATGATTGAAGACATTCGCTACTGCTGGGATAGGGAGCGACTGGATCCTATTGAATTTTTCAGAGGCTTGGGGAGGACTCTCAAAGGAGAGGCGTTGACTCATTACCGCGTGGAGAGGCAGGGGCTGCTGATGCGGAGCAACAGAGGAGATATCGTACCGGCAGATATTACGGACCGTTTCTTGGAAAGCCTGCAGGAGCAGTTCCCGGGGCATTCGGCGGACCGGATGGCGGAGTTTCAAGACTTCAGAAGAGCGCCGGCAGAGTCGATGTTGGCCTACTATAACCGTTTACTGGAGCTGGCAGAGGATATGGGCTGCGTGGAGGAGCGCATCCTAGTGACCAAGTTCGTCAACGGACTAGATGGGGACTTGATACGAGACATGAGAAGCCGACTATACTCCTTGGGGGTACGGGCGAAGCTGCGACAGGTGTACCAGGTGGCGAAAGAAGTGGAGGATGGAAAGAGGTTTTTCGAAGGAATGAGGGGGTCAAGCTTCAGTCGGCCGAGCGAACGTCGGAGGCCTGCTTGGGCAGCGGTGGAAGGGAGACAGGGGGAAGAGGAACGAAGAGAGAGGCCGTCTCAAGATAGACGCAGGTGTTACAAGTGCGGCGAAAAGGGGCACGTGCGGAAGGACTGCGCCATAGACATAGTGTGCGACACCTGCAAGATGAAAGGACATTTCAGACGTGACTGCCCCAAGGCACCTATCTGCACCGGGTGTGGGAAAAGGGGGCATACTGAAGACAGGTGCTACAGCAAGGGAGAGAGAATGCGAGGAAAATCGGCAAGGGAGTTACAGTTAGAGAGAGAGGTGGCGAAGCTGAAGGGACAGTTGGAGAAGACTGAGATTAGTGAGGACCCTGAGAAGGCATTGCTGGCTTGGGAGGACGATGAAGAGGAGGAGTATGAGAGAGAGGAGGCAGAGTACGGGGCCATGGCCATACCACCTAGAGACCGAGAGGAGTTGGGGCTGCGCAGCGGCGGGAAGGATGGCAGGACAGAGCAGAAGCAGCCTGAAAGGAGAACCCCTCGGCAACAAGAAGAAAGCCATAAGCCGAGGACGGCTCGACGGCATCCTGAGGAGAGACTCGTCTGCCAACCCACGGCCCTGGTGGTAGAACCTAAGGCAGTGGCTGTCAGGGGCATATTAGTGGAGAACGCCGTGGTGGATACAGGCGCACAGAGTGTCCTGCTGGGAAGGAAGCTGACAGAACAGTTACGGGAGAAAGGGGACTTGGAAATAGTAAACAGAGGCATACTGATCATGACAGCCGAGGGAGGGGCACCAAAGTGGATGCCCTGTACTAAGGACCCCATCGAGATTACTCTGCAGCCGGGAGAGAAGGGAGAAACGACGATAAGAGTGCAATGTGGGCTGACCGAATCGGAGGATTATGATGTTCTGCTGGGGATGGAGCTGCTATTCAAGATAGGTACAACAATTTGTACCTGGCAGGAACAGGTGCTCTACCGCTCGGATTTCTGGATTGAGGGAAAGGAGTTGAGTGAGCTGCCAGTGCGGTTTGTCAAGACAGAACCGAAGAAGGCTTGGAGGGCGGAGGGCATGAGAAGAGAGAGCGTAAGGAGGGGGAGTACCAAAGAGGGCAAGGTCGGAGCTAACCTGAACCAGTATAGCGTTACCTTAGTGGAGCTGTTTGGAGGGCTGGGGGCAGGCTTAGCGGCGGCACTGGAAGCAGGGCTGAAGGTGAAAAGATGGGTGTATGTGGAAATAGACCCGGAGGTGAGGAGGATGGCTTGGAAGCATGCACAGATACTGCAGCAGCGGTACCCAGCTCAACTGGCGAAGGAAGTGATACGGGAGGCCATGCAGAATGAGAAGTGGGATGTGGGACAGCTTACCAAGGAAGACGTGAACCGCTGGGGAAAGGTGGACCTGTTGGTAGCAGGGTGGGAGTGCCAGGGTACTTCCCGAGCGGGGAAGGGAAGAGGAATGCAGGATGACCGCACGGCGATGGTGACAACACTGCTGACGATTATGAGGTGGGCGAGAGAATCTGGCGGGGAATATGCGTACATCCTAGAACATGTGGATATGAGGAGTGATAGCAGGGAGCCGGTCCGAGCCGTACGCGAACTGGTGGAAGCAGAATTGGGAAGGGGAGTGAGTTGTGACGGGGCACAGCTGGGGGCAAGGTGTCATAGAGTGCGGCAGTACTGGCAGAACGTCCTGCCAGAAGGGGAACTGAGGGCGAGATTAGCAAGGGTGGAGAGAGATGAGAGCCGAATCGTGGAAGACATTCTGGAACCAGGGAGAGTGGCCGCCCCAGTGGTAAAGCCAGATCATCCGCGACAGTATCAGTGTAACCGAGTGGGGGAAGCGAGGAGGGCCTGGCCGACACTGGTGGCCTATGCAAAGGCACGGGGATTTGTCGAAGTGGAAGGGACTCCAGGTCCAGGGATGGTGTATGATCACCGTAAGAAAAGATGGGAGGAGCCGACTGCTTTGGAGAGGGAATTAGCCATGGGGTACCTGCCGGGGGCAACTGCAGCAGATGGAGTAGGGGAGGAGGTGCGCAAAGCTGCCTTGGGCCAAGCCATAGACCAGCACTCACTGCGATGGCTAATTAGTGAGATGAGAAAGGGGCCAGCCGAGAAAAAGGGAAAGACGGAAGAGGAGAAGTGCAGGGGTAGCAAGCAGGCTGCTTACGCCGCTGTCAGCAAGCTCACAGACGAGAAGGAGATCAAAACTGCACCACCAGTAGGGACGGAAGTAGAGCCGGGCAAAACCTGGGAGCTGGGGGCAGGTATAGGGGAGCAAGCAGCCGAAGCAATCAGGGAGGTGTTGCAGCAGCATAGGGGCACCTTCGCCTATAACCTGCAGGAATTGGGGAGATACAAGGGGAGAGAGCTGGAGCTGAACCTCACGACTGAGCTACCTACATACCAACGCAGGAGGCGAATGAATGCGGAGGATGCAGCCATCTGCAAGGAGAAATGTGAGGAGTTGCTAGCTGCAGGGATTATTCGCCCGTCAGAATCAAGTTACGCGGCGGCCACGGTGGTGGCTGCTAGGAAGGACATCACGGGAAAGATTCTAGCGAAGCGGATGTGCGGGGATTTTCGGGAGCTGAACAAGATTACAAGCCCAGACAGATACCCTATGCCGACTGCTGAAGACATTTTCGACCGGCTGGAAGGGGCCACCGTCTTTACCACCTTGGACCTGCGGCAGGGCTTCAATCAAATAGGCATTAGAGAAGCAGATAAACGGAAAACAGCATTTCACGGGGTGGACGGTTTGTATGAGTACAACGTTATGCCTTTCGGGCTTCGTAACGCACCAGCAGTGTTCCAGAGAGCCATGGATCAAGTGCTGAAGGGGGTTCCAGCCGCAGCATGCTACATTGATGATGTGTTGATTTACAGCAGCAGCAAAGAACAGCATGTGCAAGATCTGAAGCAGACTCTGGAGGCAATAGCAGCTGCGGGGCTGACGTGTCACCCAGATAAGTGTAAGATAGCGAGGCACACGGTGGCTTACCTGGGGTTTGAAGTGAAGGGCGGTCGGCTGGCCATACAAGAGGCAAAGGTTAAGGTGCTGGAGAACCTGGCAGCGCCAAAGGATAAGACAGGGCTGCGGGCGTTACTCGGCTTCCTGAATTATTACAGGAAGTTTGTGTCAAACTTCAGTCGCCGTGCCTACGTGCTGAACCAGCTGCTGAGGGAAGGGAAGAGCTGGCAATGGGGAGAGGTGGAGGAGGCAGCAAGGCAGGACTTGCTCGAAGCAGTTAGGACAGGGACCTTACTGCAGATACCGAGGGCAGAAGCGCCTTTCATCCTGTACACGGACTGGAGCAGTACGGGAATGGGAGCGGTGCTCTGCCAAGAAATCGAGGGAGAGGAAAGAGTGATAGCCTTTGCCAGCCGAAGCTGCAGCCCATCCGAGGCTAACTACTGCTCATACGAGGGAGAGGGCCTGACAGCAGTGTGGGGAATCACGCATTTCAAGGTATACCTGCAGGGCCGGCACTTCACATTAGTGACTGATCATCAGCCACTGCTATGGTTGATGACTAATCAAGAGCTGACGGGAAGAAACGCTCGATGGGCTATCAAGTTGTTGGGATTTGACTTTGAGATCCGGCACCGACCGGGTAAAACACTGCAGCATGCAGATGGGCTGTCAAGGAACCCACCACCGATGCAGCCGGTAGCGCAGCTGGCGGCCTTAGCCCACACCGTGGCCGTAAGCTGGGGGCAGGAGAAGGGAGAGAAGCGGTTAGCAGATATATGGGAGGACGAGGAGACCATGAGCTGGATCAAAGGGGAGCCACTGGAGGAGGAAGGCGTAAGTGAGAGAGCAAGAGCCAGAGGGCAGCATTACAGATGGTTTCAGGAGCAGCTGCAGCTGAGGACCAGCGAAGGATGGAGGGTAGTGCCGCAGCCGCAAGAGAGGAACAGGATCATGGGGAAGGTGCATGCGAAGCTGGGACATTACGGCATCACCAGGACACGGCAGCTGCTGAGCACCATGTACTGGTGGGCAAGCATGGGGAAGGATGTGGCAGGACTGGTAGCCAGCTGCGAGGCTTGTCAAAGGAATAAAGCAAGGCTGGAAAAGGAGAGGGAGGAGCTGCACTCACTACCGATTCGGGGGTTAGGTTACAGGTGGTCGCTGGACCTGGCAGGAGAGTTACCATTATCAAAAGGAGGGAAGCAGTACATCCTGATCATGGTTGAGCACACGAGCAAATGGGTGGAGGCGCGAGCATTACCAAGCAAGAGTAGCGCACTGATAGCGGACGCATTCGAGGAGTTAGTACTGACCAGGTACGGTGCATGTGGGGAGGTGCTTACCGATCAAGGGACAGAATTTCAAGGGAGCTTTGATGAGCTGCTAGAGGAGATGGGCATTACGCATCGTGTCACCTCAAGGTATCACCCTCAATCGGACGGGCTGACAGAGAGGCTCATACAAACCGTGAAGAAAGGACTTCGGGCCTATGGAGAGACACACAAGAGGAGTTGGGACAGGGATCTCTGGTGGGTGCTTGCGGGATACCGGTTTGCGAAGCAGGCAGCGCTGAAGCATTTGTCCCCGTATCATCTACTGTACGGACGGGACCCGGTGCTACCTGTGGATGCACCGAAGCTGCTCTCGGCGACGATTGAAGCGGACGAGCCGAGCCTGTGGGCGGGATTAGCGGAGAAGAGGGCGAGGTATCTGAAAGAGCTGACTCCAGCTGCCTTGGATAATCTACACGTGGCGCAGCTGAGGGATGCAAGGCGGTACCAGCAGCGCAAAGCAGGAGGGATGGGAGGAAAGAGTCACCAAGTGGAAGCGGGGCAGGAGGTGTACCTGCGCAGGGCTAAGCGAGATACGCTGGACTTAGCTGTGGGACCGGAGCGATGGAGGGTGAAAGAGGTAAGGGAGTCGGGGGTGCTAGTGCTGGAGGATGATCGAGGGGAGTACCTGAAGGAGCATATCACCAACGTGGCCAGGGCGGGAAGGGAGAAGCCTCAGGCATTGGATCCCGTGTCTGGAGCAGCTCGGGTGCGTGCTCAGTCACGGGAGGGGGCAGGGAAGCCTGAGATACGAGGAGGGGATCAGAACAGAGTGATTACATACGCCAGGAGGAAGAAGGGATGAGCCGGTCACCTGGATGAGAGGTGGAGGGAGAGGGAGTGAGGAAGTCAGGCAGGGATGCAAGGGAGAGTGAGAAGGAAGGGACAGCAGAGGGGATTCACGACAGCTGTCGCGTGATTAACACTTAGCTGGCAACTAAGTGTGAATTACACAGCAGCCAAGGTGAGGTGTACTATAGTTTACTGCTTTTTGCATTTTACTTTGTTTGCTCTTTTGGAATGTTACTGTACTATACAGAGTCGAGCTGCTGAGGATTTCGAGGTGGTTGGGGGGGAGGTTGGTGGCGAATTCGATTCCAGCCAGCCTGGGAATTCAATTCGCCATTCACCAGGCTGGAAGGCGGTGCATGCCTAGTGGGCCGAGTGGGACCCAGCTAGCACCTTGAAGCCTACGCGATCAGCTCGGCTGACTCGCGCTTAGGAGTAGAGGTAGCTTGCGGGACAAGGCACCTAGGCAGGAGGGGATGTAGACTGGGGTAGCGCTCAGACTCGTTGCTTTTTGCTTGTATGTTTCTCGTTTACTGCAATTGTGATTTCCTAAACCACGGGGAACTAGCAGTAGAGAGGAGCTGAAGCAAATCGGCGGAGCCCTTGCGAGGGAGTTAAGTCTTGTTTCGTGGGAAGCCTGAGATACGAGGAGGGGATCAGAACAGAGTGATTACATACGCCAGGAGGAAGAAGGGATGAGCCGGTCACCTGGATGAGAGGTGGAGGGAGAGGGAGTGAGGAAGTCAGGCAGGGATGCAAGGGAGAGTGAGAAGGAAGGGACAGCAGAGGGGATTCACGACAGCAGACTGCCCTCGTGCACTCGCTCTCTCACCTTCTCGCTCTCCACCCCAAGGTGCGTGGTGGTTTGGTTGGCAGTCTTGTTGATGGCGTGGCATGCGTACCAGCAGCAGCAGTATGCGTGGGTGGCGCTGCGAGTGTATGATCACACAGAACAGACTGCTCTCGCTGCCTCACCTGCTCGCCCTGCACCCCAAGGTGCATGCTGTGTTGGCATGGGTATCACAGGGCAGGAGTGCTGTGGGCCGGTGGCATGTTCATTAGCAACAGCAAGGAGGGGTTTGTTGCCTAGTCAGATGCCTTACCTCTATGGTCTTCACCATGCGAAACGCATGGGTGTTTGGTCTAGTGGCATGATTCTCGCTTAGGGTGCGAGAGGTCCCGAGTTCAATTCTCGGAACACCCCAATTTTAGTATAGGTGCACTTTCTTAACCATGCTACCTTCCGTTTTCCATCATGATCATCATGGGTCCATTTCGTTGTTTTGAACGCACAATGTGCGTCGCACATCACTACCTAAGTTGACGGAAGTAAGGCCTTTGCCGCCCACCTGTCTATTCTTGACGAGTTCTGCACACAGGCTTGACACGGCAGGTCAAGCTGGTGGTCATCGACAGTGCCACCTTCCGCTTCTGCCACGGATTCACATACATGGGCCTGCGCTCACATGTTCTCATTTACCCTGCTCCCTTCCCTGCTACTTTCCCTGTTCCTTTCCCATCCACTCCGCATAACCCATACTGCAGGTGAAGCTAGTGGTGATCGACAGTGTCACATTCCATTTCCGCCATGGCTTCACAGACATGGGTCTGCGCTCGCGCCTGCTGGCCTCCATGGCGAGAGAGCTGCTTGCCATTGCCGATGAGCACAACGTGGCTGTGAGTGTTTGCAATGCATGTGTGGAGGGTTTAGGGTGCTGAATTGACTTACCTCCGCGCCTGCTGGCCTCCATGGCAAGAGAGCTGCTCGCGATCGCTGACGAGCACAACGTGGCTGTGAGTGTGGCTCGGTACTCCTCTCCTTTCACGCTGCATGTGTGAGTGTTCTCCTTGCATGAACGGCTCCACCATGCCAGCCTCTTTCCCTCTCTGCCTGCTTGCTGGCCTCCATGGCAAGAGAGCTGCTTGCAATCGCTGACAACCACAATGTGGCTGTGAGTGTGGCTCAGTGCATGCATGAGTGCTCTCCTTGCATGACTTGTGCCACCGTGCTAGCCTCTTCGCCTCCACCCTCCTCACCTTTGCGCCTGCTGGCCTTCATGGCAAGGGAGCTGCTCGCCATTGCCGACAACACAACGTGGCTTTGAGTGTTGCTCATCGCATGCATGCATGCATGTGTCCTCTCCTTGTTGCATGCATGCATGTGTCCTCTCCTTGTTGCATGCATGCATGTGTCCTCTCCTTGTTGCATGACCTGTGCGTGTGCCGCATTGACTTACCTCCGCGCCTGCTGGCCTCCATGGAAAGAGAGCTTCTCACCATTGGAGATGACCACAACGTTCCAATTATATGTTTCCTCGAGACAGTGACCTCATAGTGGTTTCATGCGCTGTGTCCACATGTCATGTGCATGGGGCATGGGACATTCAATCCATTGATGTGCAGGTGGTGTTGGTGAATCAAGTCACAACCAAGGTGGAGGGCGAGGTGTCCCGGCTTGTTCCTGCTCTTGGTGTGTGTGCATCCCTATTCACTTTGCTTCACATTAGGTGCTTTGCGTTTCGCAAAACCATCTGCCACCATGCGCAGTTGCCGCTGTCCATCTGCCGCCATGCGCAGTTGCCGCTGTCCATCTGCCGCCATGCATCATGATCCGCATCCCCCCAATCCGCCCTTCAATCAGGGCAGAACTGTGCACACGCGTGTACCGATCACATCATCCTCTTTCGAGCGGATTGGCAGCAGCTCATACATTTAATGAGAACGAAGTGTATGTGCTACCCTCTTATTCCCCCTTTCCTTTCCCCAAAAATATCCCGCCCTCCGCATTCCAATCAGGCGAGAGCTGGGCGCACGCGTGCACCAATCGCGTGATCCTCTTTTGGAGCGGGGGACAGCGATTCGCTCACCTCTTTAAGTCACCCTACCTGCGGGCGGGCACCGCTCCCTTTACAGTCACATCTGAGGGCGTCAGGTCACTGCAAGATGCACACAAGAGGCAGCGAGTGGAAGGGAGTGAAAGGGGTCTGTTGTTGCAAGGTCCGGGTGGTCACTAGTAGGGTGCTGCCAAACAAGCTGTTACCTTCAGGCCACGTCAGGCCACCACTGCAGCCATTTACAGTCACACGTGAGGGCATCAGGTCACTGCAAGACGCACACGTGAGGCAGCGAGTGGAAGGGAGGGCAGGGAGATGAGCTTAGGCTGGTCCGTGTGTTCGCCAGTAGGCCGTTGCCCAACAAGCTTTGAGTCGAATAATAATATCCGGGTGTTGTTGGCTGGTAGGCTGTTGAAAAGCAAGCGTGTGGGACTTCATTCTTTTCTCAGAATGCAATATAGTGAATTAAAGAACATAATATGAAGTGGTTACAATTTGTTACTGATCTATTCTTTTATGCAGAGAGTCAGCCTGTGATGGGTCGTGACTATGAAAAGCTGTGTCAACCGTCCGATCAGAACATCGACGGTCATCATTGACGATTGGAGCCCATTTGAATTGCGCAGGGGTGCGCACCCCGCTCGACCAACATCTTCCACGATTTTGCCGCGAGTTTACACTAGGGCGGGACTCTCGGTGTAGTGTCCTCTCCCTGGCCGTACAATAAGGGCGTGTTCCTATGCCTCATACCGTCAGCCCCCGCATAGAAGCGCCCCTGTGCTTATAATAAAACACTGTTTTTTAGGGGGTGCGCTTATAATTGAGGAATTTTATAAGCGCCGGCGACTATAAAATGTCAAAATTGAAATGGTTTTTTTTACATGTATTTGAAGCCTTTTCAAACGGGGATTCAATCCACATCTAGAACGTTCGAGTTTGTGCATGAAACGCGCGTCAAATTGCCAACAAGGCGCGGAATCACGCCCGCCACGCCTTGCTCGCCTGGCCAGATTCATCGTACCGAATCTGGCCCATGCCAACGCACACGCAGTTTAGTGTGCGACTGCCCAATCAGGGCCGACTGTCGTGCTAGCCACGACGCAGTAAAACCACAAACGGGGCATATGCGGCAAGATTCCTTGCCAACAACGCTTAGACCTCACCACATCAGCTCCTCTACGGGGAGATCTTGACTGTTTCTCCCCTTAGCCTGCAGAGTAACCTCGGCCGCGAAGTTGGAGGGGTCTCGGGCAAGGGTTTCAAACATGCTTCATTCTCCCTGTTTTTTTTCAGATTTCTTGTTTCCCATCGGCCTGGCTTAGCTATGGCGAGCCGACCAGGCACCCATTTCCTCTTTAAGCGCCGAGGTGCTGCTGACAAAGCTCCCGATTACTCCCAGTGGCAGAGTCGTCCAGCGCCAATACCTCCTGCTCCTCCTGCGCCTCCAGCTCCTCCTGCGCCTCCTGCACCTCCAGCGCTTCCTGCTCCTCCCGCTCCGCCTATCGTCGTCATCAACGGTGTGCCCATTCTGCAGCTTCTCCCTCGCGGCTACTCTGCTTTCGATGCGTACATCTCCGAGCCCGAGCACGAGCCCGAGCGCAGCGATGAAGATGAAACCGGTCCCGGTCTTTCGCCACGTTGGGGAGACCCGGAAGACTGCCCGCACGACGAATCCGCCACCGGTGCCGAAGACGATGTTGAGTGGTGGGCGGCCGACGGTCTTCCCGAGGACTTGCCTGTCCCAAGTTTTCCCCCGCCCAATAAAAAAAGGCCCCACCCCTGCACCCAGAATCGTGATTCCCGCCCCCCGTCTCCCAGGAGCAGGCGCTCAAGGCACAAGCGGCACTCCTATACTTCTCAGGAGAAGCTGCACTGGATTTCACAGCTGGAGTCCGGTGCCGTGAGTATGCGGAAGACGGCACGCGATGTGAAACTTAATGAACGGGAGTGAATGACTATGAAATGAAGTGGGTACAAATAGGAAACCCTAATTGGGTTGTACCCCCTATGGGATACCCCACTATAGCCTACAGAAACAAGTAAGCTATATGTTCTGACACACCCCCATAGGCAAAGTGGGGAGAACAAGGGGTCACAAGACCAGTCAAGCAAAGCAAAGCAAAGCTCAGGGTGGATCACAAAGTCACCACGCATTCCGAGCACAAGTTCAAAGGCCAGAAGGCCAGTTTACATACAAGATCATATATAGAGATATACAAGAATCAAGCAAGCAAGAGCAAGAGTATATATAGGCGAAGTTACAAGCAAGGTCAAGAGGAGAGCAAGTGAGGCAAGACAGCCACAAGACCCAACTGCGTGCAACAACGCTGATGATCACAAGGCGCAAGTGCCTTGGTGAACACATCAGCAGTGTTGGCCTCAGAGGCCACGTACGCAAGTCGTAGCTGTCCACGCTGCTGTAGCTCACGAGCAAGAAAGTAGCGGAGAGCAATGTGCTTCGTTCTGTGCTCCAGTCGCTGCTCTCGACACAAGGCCAGCATGGCCTTGTTGTCTACGTACAGGACTGGAGGAGAACGAGGCTGCTCTCCAAGGTCGGTCAGCAGGTAGGTGAGCCAGCATAACTCCTGTGCAGCCATAGCCCCAGCGTAGATCTCAGCCTCACAACTGGAGCCGAGAACAGAAGACGAGCGAGTAGCCCGCCACGAAACAGAGCCGGAACCAAGGCCGAAGGTGTAACCCTGTGACGACCGCTGCGTAGCCTGGTCGTCAGCCCAAGAAGCGTCCGCGTGCCCAGTGAGGACCACTGGACTGCGCCCTCCAAGCACTAGCCCCATGCCCGACGTACTGCACAAGTAGCGCAACACCCTCTTCGCTGCAGCCATGTGCTCTGGTCGGTGTCTCCCAGGAGCAACAAAGCGTGCGAGAATGCTAAGAGGGTATGCGAGGTCAGGTCGTGTGCAGGTCATCAGGTACATGAGGCAGCCAACAAGCTCTGCAAACGGGCCACTCGACTCTACGGACTCATCCGAAGGCAGAGCTGAGAGCGAGTGGCGAGTAGGCAGAGGAGTGGCCTGAGGCGAGGAGTACGTGAAGCCGAAGCGCTGAAGGACCTGCTGCACCATGTGTGACTGAGTCAGGGTAATGGTGCGGCGTGCTCTGTCCCGGGTGATCTGCAAGCCGAGGTAGCTGCGCAGTTCACCCAGGTCAGTGCACGTGTGTCTCTTCTGCAGCTCGGACTTCACGTAGGCGAGTCCAGCAGTGTCAGCTGTGGCAAAGACCAAGTCGTCGACGTACACGAGGATGTAGAACGGCGGCAGAGAGGTGTCGGTGCGAAGAAACAGCGACGGGTCGGCAGTAGAAGGAGCAAACCCATGTGCCGCGAGCGTAGTCCTCAGTGTGTCGTGCCACTCACGTGGCGCCTGGCGGAGACCGTAGACTGGACGCCGGAGACTCCACTGGGTACCAGGAGGGAAAGACCCAGTGAAGCCAGGTGGGCGACGCAGCCAGATCTTCTCGTGCAGGCTGCCCTGCAAGAAAGCAGTGCTGAAGTCAAGAGAGTGCAGCTCGTAGTCACGGTGAGCAGCAACGTGCAGCAGAACCCGAAGAGTGGTCATCTTCGGGGTGGGGGAGAAGGTCTGAAAGTAGTCAACCCCCTGCCGCTGACTGAAGCCACGAGCCACGTAACGCGCCTTGAAGACAGGCGGAGAACCCGGCGGCCGCTTCACCCTGAAAATCCACATGCCACTGACGATGTTCGCCCCAGGAGGGGGAACAGCGTCAACGTAGGTGCCTGTGGACTTCCAGGAAGCCATCTCTGCATCCATAGCTGCCTGCCACTGAGAGGAGTAGGGACCCTCTATCGCCTCCGCGTAAGAGCGCGGAGTCGGGATGTCTGGTGCATCCGGGTCTCCCTCAGGGGCTAGCAGTACAGACGCAAGACGAGGTGAAGCAGCGGCTAGACACTGGAACTCCTCCTGCCTGTCCTCAAGGACGTCCGTGCCAAGGGCACACTCACCCCCGACGGACGGAGGACAGGCGGACTCAGACTCAGTGACAAGACGAGCAGCGTAGTCTAGACGACAGCGCGCAGCAAAGTCGACAAGCTCAGTGACAAGGGCAGACGCAGCAGACGACTCGAAGGAAGGGTCAGTGACAGCAGTAGCAAGGAGACGCGTGACAGTAGGACTGGCAGCGCGAATAGAGTCCGACTCAGGGTCGGCAAGAGCAGGAAGAGAGGAAGCAGGAGGAGAAGGCAAAGGGGCACGCAGAGGAGCAGTGGACGGACGCAGTGACATCCGGTGCGTGCCAGGGACAGGAGGAGGACGCTGACGCGAACCACGACCACTAGCGCGCTCAGTACGAACAGGCGACGCAGGACGAGACGCAGGCTCACGACGCTCAGTAAGACCTCCAGTCGGACCAGCGTAGGGAGAAGGAGCAGGCAAAGGGGAGGCAGGCTGTAGCTGTGGCTGTGACCGAACAGGCTGCGGACCCTCTAAGGGAGCAGGAGGAGGTGCAAGACCAAGAACCTGCTGCAGGAGCGGAACGAAGTACGGTCGGGGCCGCGCGGCGACACCAGAAACAGCAGGAACAGCAGCTGCAGCCCCGTCCGGAGCACCCACTCCAGCAGCACCTCCAGCAGAACCACCAGAGGCTCTAGAACCTCCAGCAGCAGCACCAGGAACACTGTCAGTCGGACCGCCAACCGCAGGCTCAGCGCCAACACCCTCAGCAGGACCAGCTCCAGGAGAACTCTCAGACCCAGCAGCTCCAGCACCCACAGTACGAGCACCGCCAGGACGCGTGGCAGCAGTACCCTCTGCAGCCGAAGAACCACCAGCACCAGCAGCACGCCTCCAGCGCCTGGCAAACCACTCACGCAGCTCCTGTGGGGGGAGTGGCTCTCGGCGAGACGAAGCACCCCCAGGCACAGCACCCCCAGGCTCAGCACCCCCAGGCTCAGCACCCCCAGGCACAGCGCCCCCAGGCTCAGTACCCCCAGGCTCAGCACCCCCAGGCTCAGCACCCCCAGGCTCAGCACCCCCAGGCACAGCACCCCCAGGCTCGACACCTCCAGGCTCAGCACCCCCAGGCACAGTATCCCCAGGCTCAGCACCCCCAGACTCCGCACCCTCAGGCTCAGCTCCCGCAGCAGCACCAGAGTCTCCAGTGACCTCGACAGGCTCGACCGCGTCTACCTGGGACACACCTGAAGGGGC